ATGTCCAGATTTTATCATATAATCTGTGTATAACCATGTGTCAGCAAAACGTTTGCTGTCCTGCATGGTCTTTCCTTTGGCAGGTGTTCTCTGTGACTTCTGTATTGGTTTTGTGAGCCAGTTTAACTAGCCAAGTCCCAATAAAACATAAATATTGACAGGATTGTTTGATCTAAGACTGGCATGGTCCAGCACACTTGAGGAAGGACACCTGCATCTTGTGTTGGGCAAGAAATGGGGAAGAAAACAAAGAAAATGTAAAGATATATAGATTATAGAAAGTGCTGTCTTTGAACAAGCTTCCATTTATGATTGAAAGAACACAAACTTTTGCTATAACCTCCAGAAGTTATTTCTTAAATGCCTACTAGTATTTACAGTCAGTGTGATATACTGAGACACTCTTTCATCACTCTACACTAGTCTGTTGGCTGAAAATTTCAGTCAAACAATTTTTCAAACCATTTTCAAGAATGTATAGTTATGATGGACCCTCTTAATGGTCTTCTTGTGAGGACTATACCTACGGTATCACTCCCAACATCTGCTTGGAGACTAACTTTTTGCCTGTGGCCAGACAAACAAACAAAGTCTAGTCCAAGTCTGTTGGAGTAACAGATCCCATGAGAGAGGGCCTGTAGCCACTGACCTGTAGTGTCATGGGTTGGCTGTTATGTCATGGGAACATGGCAATGTCTAAGGCTGGGTGCCTCAGGCGTCGCCCAGGTCAAGGGTCATGAGAAGAACAGATGAAACGCTTCCCATTAGGGCTGACTACTAGATACTGCAAAAGTCAAGTGCAAGTCCAAAATACTGAGACTGTACCTAGATAAAATTGCACTCAGGCATAAGTACTAATATTTTGTGACTGAAAAGGTGCAATTCTACCCACAAAGGTGCAATTTTGGTACTGGAAAAGACATGAATGTATGGGCATTGAAATCAGCACCATCTTTGAGTTTTAGCCGAGACCCTTTCGAGATGGGGTTCTTTGCATGAGATAAAGGATGACCGTTCTGTTTGCTAGCTGTTTCTGTCATCGTTGAAGTTAAAAGTCACGATATACATGTACTTGAATCATTCAGGATCAGGTACAGGTTTGGACCAGCAACCCCTGTACCTATAGTACCTTACTCTCGCTGGTTGGGGTAGCGACATAAAAAGAGACGCATATAGAAAGGTAACGATCTTCCCCCATCAACCTCTGCTTGGACAGTATAGTACCTGTGTGCGGGGACAGGTAATGTCATGATCATGTACGCTGCCCTTCCCATGGTTCAGCGGGGTGACAAAAGACGGCAGGAAATGGCAGGAAGTGTGTACGTTATGGTCTGTCAGGCGGCACGTTTGTTGGGACGCAAACTTCCTCTTGTACAATGTAAGTTACAACTGCAAAAATCAACAACAAATACTTCAAGTTCCTCCTGTTGTGTCTGTTGAAATACACTTGCTTCATGTATTGACTGACTAATGGGGGCCTGCATGCCCTGTTTTGTAAGGCGTAATCCGTAGGCAGCCTCCCCCAAAATCAAAGAAATTCGTAAAAATACATTAGGCGTAAACGGTAAAGTCGTAATCAGCTCTGAGGCTTTAATGTACCGGTAATTCGTAATCGGCGGCAATAATTTTGCATAATTTGTAATCACTAATCCCCCCCCCCCCGTGTACACTATATGACATCCAGTAGATTTCTAGCGGGGACCAATCATAGGGCTGCTGACGCGTCACCGACTAGCGGCTATTAGCACCTTGTTTCATGTAAATGCCATGAACTCAACCCGAGCGCGTATATTGTTTCTTGTTTACATCAGTACTAAGTACATGTACTAGTACTTCCACAATCAGTTAGTAAAGTCATACCTTAGTAAAATCTACTTTGATGAACGAATCAAAACGGGACTGTAGACATTAAGTTTTACACATTCAAATGTGGCTGCACTAGCGCTAATGGAGCGACCACTACGTACGGGAAGGAACGGATCTTAGCGAAGCCGAGATTTGTGAACCAAACCCAACCCATCGAAGACGGGCCGCCAAACATAAAAATGGAGGGAAATGACAGACAACAAGCCAACAAAGACAACATCACCAGACCAACAAGTGGGGTCGTGTGGCGCAGTCGGTAGCGCGTTCGGCTCACACCTGAGAGGTTGCGGGTTCGAACCCTGCCCATGTCACCGATCTTGTGCCCTTGGGAAAGGCACTTTACACGACTTTCCTCAAGTTCACTCAGGTGTAAATGAGTACCTAGCTTCGGCTAAGGAGCGTCCCTCGGATAGGACGTTAAATGGAGGTCCCGTGTTTGGGAGAGCCACACCCCACGCACGTTAAAGAACCCACCACACTTATCGAAAAGAGTAGGGGACCTTCCCGGTGTGAGTGGTTCAAACCTTACAGTCTGGTCTCGGGGTTGACATCTTTGAAGAGGTGATAGTCACCTGTTATGTCAATCCTTCCACAAATGTGGCAAATCGTCATAAATAAATAAATACAACAAACTTGGAAAACACCACTTCAAGCGCTAACGTTGTAAGAACTGTGGAACCTCAAACTAGTATGTTTGCGTCAGCGGAAAGGCTATAGAACCTATGCATCTTGCTTGTTGCTGTCAACTTACCCGTTAAAGATTGAACCGATACATGTACGTACTATAACTTGCCATACCCGGCCAAAGACGACTACATTACTGTTACTCTTTATTTTGTGCTGTATAATGTATATGCGTTACATTACTAGTATCTATCATTGTCATTTCTGTGAATTCCTTAAAACATCTACTGTTAGTTTGTGTAACATTACGTAGTGCTACAATCTGCGTAAAAAGTGGGCTTCATTACGTGTTATCTGCTAAGTCTTATTGGTATTGAAAACTATTTTTTTTGTGCCGTTCTTCTACAAACAGCCAGCAGAATTATGAAGATACTCGTTCTCAATGCACATGCTGCAAACTAAAGTAATGGCAGTCCTACGAAAATTCTGTTTGTAATGTATAAGCGCTTTATGTCGACGTACAATGGGTGTGAAGTACATGTTTTCGCCCATCGTGTGCCACCGGCTCGGTGGTAATTGGCTACTTTACAAGTGAAAGAACCGCGCCCGTGGGCCTTGATAAATTATTCAAATTATTCAGCAGCCCTCTGATTGGTCCCCGCTAGAAATTTACTGGATGTCATTCAGTGACGAGAATGCAAGCCCTCACTAATGCCAACGCGAGTGTTCTACCCACTAGTTTTGTTGTAGCACAGGGAGAGCCCAACCTGTGACACTACAATATCCCAAATCTTCGTTCTTCAAGGAGTATCTTCAAAGCATTTTTGTGATGGGCTTAAAAGGAAAATATTAAGAAGTGGTGGTGGTAAAGTTTTTTTTTTATTACAGTGCAAATATGTAGAACGATTATTTGGAGTCCAGGTGAATGGATGGTAAGTCAATCCATGTAGTCACCAAATCTAATCCTTTGCCCCATCTGTACAAAGCGGTTAAAGTACAGTCATAATCTTTTGAGGCTGACTGACAGTGAAAGAGCAGTTCCAGCAAGCCAAAGTGTGAGCACTGAGCAATAACCCATAGCAAACCATCATATAAACCTGGGATAAAAATGAGCCCTTCCCAGAAAATTGCACCTAGGCTTTATTGCAATATTTCCATCAACGTCCTCCCTGTGTTATTGCATCTACATCCCAGGGGGAGAGATCCCATTGCACCCGTCTTTATTCCTATTTTGTAGGAACTTTTCCTGTCTTCGCTAGCTCTATCCAGTGTCATAGGTCAACGACCTTTACCCTCCCCACTAGTGGAGACCAATCAGGGGATGAGAAAACTTCTGAAGCTCAAATACGAATCTCGACAGTAGCTCTGAGCAGGAATCTCTAGGGTGAGATTTGGGAGGTGCAGAAAAGGTCAGGAGTTGCTGTCCACCCATTCTGCAGTGTCAAGGGAGGATGTGTCTTTCATTCACAGTACAAATGCATACTCTACATGTACTACACAATGTACCTTATAGCGTAATTACCTTCGCCAAGAAGGTTATGTTGTCAGAGGCGTTCGTGTATTTCACAAATGAATTAAGTGTAAAGCCAAGATAGCCTGCCTTTCTGAGTATAGCCTTAACGGCAAGGAAACCAGTGGGGAAAATGCTAAGATAGAATCAGCAACAAATTACAAACTTACAGTAATAAGTAAAACAGAAAAATTAACAAAAACCTAACTTTTCACGGAGGTATAAGATCTTTGCTTTCTTGTTGAAGATTTGTGGCCTCCTTATATATAGTAGTGCAGTGTAGTTTTCAAGTAAAAGGTAAAGCATGAAAGTTACGACAAGCTCCACTGACAACGAAGCTGTGGAGATCTGATAACGGCAGGCCAGTCAATATATCACAACCCACCCAATGTCTTCATAAATGAAGTCTGCTATCTCTCGCTCCTTGCTTCAGAGAGCAAAGATTACAACTTATAGAGAAACACGCTGACCATAAATCATCTTGCCAATAACCAAGGCCCGATGTCTTCATGCACCGTGATAAGCCTTCCTGACTTGGTGCCCTGGAATAGCATCCATCACCAAAGAAAGCACAGCAATCTTACTTCCTTTCTTTGCTCTAGTGCTCATCTAGATCTAGGTCAGATTGCACTTGCTGATGCCCATCTGTGTTAGGATATACTTTTTGATTCAGGAGACTTTTGAGAGTAGAATGTTATAATAGAATGAAGCAAGGCCACTGAACCAGCATCCTTCAGAATTATGAAAGATTACAATTTCCAAGAGGTCACCGTCAAAAACCTGAAAATGAAACCACCAAAAATTGTCAGGATTTACAGCACATTTTTACAAACTTTTTCGGATTTAGTATTATAGCTGTGTCTGTCATTTCCTTGTATTAATGTTATATCAGTGTTTTGTTATTGTTTTTTTTTTCTCAGAAGCACATAAAATGTTCCCAGACTGTGTTTTGTGTTACCTTGTATTAATATCGATTCTTTGTTGTTTTTTCCCACCTCAGGCACGTGTAAAATGTCGTGGTCGTACTACATCACGATTGGCGGGAGCCTGCTCACCTTCCTGTGCAGCGGTCTGTCCTACAACGCCGCCAGGACGAAAAACGTCCACTACGGAATATAGGAACACACCACCAAGACTTCCACACACCCTGGCATAGCAGAGGCACAGCTGAATGAAAAGTCTGGATGGATCACATTTGAGTTATCAAAATCAGCACGACAAACTGATTGGATCATACATTTGTACACTTGTTGAAGCCATTTTTGTACATCCTCTCACAAGTTTTCGGTGTCATGCGTATAGTACTCATAGGAGCTCAAAGTAAAGAAAATATGAAAAACATTTACTGCAGATTTCTGAAGGCAATCGGTCGACATGTGAGTAGACGATGTGTAAATCTGTCTTGAAATTGTCCTACATATCCCAAAAAGGCTCCATAATTAACTTAGATGGCAAATGGCCATAACATCACCAATAGAATTAGTTGTCTTTTATACATGTATTTGCCATCATCTTAACTTTTGAAAAAGGACTCTCTACATATGTTTATTGTGTGATTCTATCAGTTGTCGTGCTGATTTTATGACTGGAACCATGGAGGTAGAAAATGCTGGAACTAAGAGTAAACTGTAATGGAGTCCACTGGACAGTTCCTATACAAGACTGTGAATCATCCTCCCTTGTGAGATGTTTCTGAAGTCACCCTACATGCTCCTGACAGGAGAGAGAGGAAAGATGGGAAAATGTTGGACACTAAACACTGAAAAACCGTGTGGAAGAAAATGCTGTAAGAGGACCGACATGGCAAGGACAAACAGTGGAAACAACTCACTGGTCAGGGCCACGAGTGGTTCAAGTGGAAGTGGACTTAAATTTGATGGTGAAAAAACCCAAAGGGATCAACTATAATAGAGACGTTACTTGTTATCCATATGCGCCATTGTACCGTGCATACAAGACTGTGATATTGCCAGTTAACATTGTTAATTGTAGCCTTTGTGGTTGCAGGTGCCATTTAAAAGCGTGGACATTGGTTTCTTACAACCATGCTGTCACATACACCTCAGAGCCAAGGATAAAGTAGTCTCTACCAGACTCCTTGGGTCGCTTGAAAAAATAGATATCATCCAAATATGCTGAATAACTAGAGTTAACCGTCCATGAAGGTACATATTCACAACCCTCCATGAAAAGCCAACTCCTGTGGAAAATTGTTTACATGACTATTTTTGGCCAGTTTCTAGTGTTTTGTCAGCAACCCAAAGAGTCTAGTAGAGACTAGATAAGAACAATGCTGGGCAGGTCGGATATCATATATTGGTAAAGCTTGTGCTGTATTGTAGGGGTACATGGATAGTAATGTGTTATTCATGTCTGTGGACTTATGGGAAAATAAGCTGGTTCACAGTTTGAACTGTACATGCACAGTATGATGCATTGTGGGTAATAATGATGATAAAGATGATAAGCCAGGGGCCGTCACCTTTGACCTCACACATGCACAGTTCAAACTATGAGCCTTCTTATAAGTTACAGGGATGTTTTGTACTGCGAAGCCACATGTGCTTGTGCGACTATAATATTGTTAGTTTTGTCATGTTAGATATTTTTTTGACCATTTATTGTCGCATATCTCGGCACTGTACGACTATAATATAATATATAGCCCTCATGTAGATAAATATTACCAAGTCTTGAAACATTGTTATTTTTTACAATGTTGAATTAGTTTTGGTGTACAGTGCTTAATTGTGGTTGATACTTAATATACAATATACAAGTAAAGTACATGTCTGGCTATTTAATATTGTTACCTGTTCTATATGTTTGTACAGTACAATACTATATAATTGATGTCTTGTGAGACTGAAATTCAGGAGTTGGGAAATGTTGAATACCCAGGAACTATTTTATATGTACACTGTACCTGTACCTGTACTTTCAAAATGTTGTTACATTGTATCAGCTGCAGCTAAAGGTGTCAGTTAACCCCCAGCCTGCTAAGGTAGCCATGTTTTACCAAATTTGTAGACAGCAGGAAGAAGGTTAACAAACTTGAGGAAAGAAATGAATTAACCTCTAAGCTGTCAATGCTGAGTAGACCTAGGTTTTATGATTGGCCCTTGGGCGGTTAAGATGTTGAAAGGAGTTGTTGTGAAACTGACAATGCTGAAATTTATACTGTATACACAAACACATTAAATGTTGTAAACATGAAATTTATGGTCTCTGTTTTTGTGGGGTTTTTTTTTGGAAGTGACATCCACTGTAAGGCACCTTTATTTTCCCCCTTTAGAAGCGTAGGTTGTCTTGTGTGCTTCAAATGACTTTCCTTTCTTTCTTTCTGACTAGAAAAAGTTACGATATTCCTCCCACCATCTGCTTGGATATTAAGAGCAAATGTCTGTAAGGATCAAACAATGGTGGCAGGGGTCAAAAAATCGATTTGGCTCAAATTTTGCACAGTGATAGTACTTGGCCCACAACCCCTCAAAATAGCTTTCTTTCTGCTCCACACCGATCGTTGCCATGGTAACGGGCCAAACATGTTTTGGGGCCATTTTCCCTGATTTGGGCATGTCAAAAACATGAAAATTACCAAAGTTTAGGACGCGATTACAAACAAATGCTTGAATATATCGGAAAGACAAAAACTGTGCTGAAATCACCAACTTATCTGCTTTTCTAAAATAGCTTTAAACTTTTCCAGAGGTCCGTTTAAAGGGCCTGGGCATCCCTAAGACAATACAGTGTTTTTGGTTGTGAAATATCCCTATTTCTGCCCATTTTTGAAGCGCTGTAACTCCAAAGATGGTGATTTTTTTTCTTTCATATTGAAATCACAGATACATAATCATATGTGCTATAAAATGCATGTTTGCAAAGTTTGGCCAATTGTTTGGTTCTCACGTGGTTGTCCTCTGAAGTAGGTCATATTTTACATTTCAAGAAAAATACCAAATTTTGTCATATTTAAGATGCAATATATACAATATGAAAGCAGAAATCTAATAATGCTTTGCACAATATGTAACCCTATTGATTGTCTATCAAATGCATTATTGTGGAGTTTGGAGTCTTGTTTTGTTGTTGTGTACTTGTCCCTGAAAGTAGGCCATATTTTCGACATGTGGTAAAATTAACATTTTCCAGTCTTCCAGGCTCTATAACTGACAAAGTGGAGTATCATTGGAACTCAATATTTGTAGGGTATTACATACATGTATTGGGTATGGAATGAATT